TATTAGGGATTGTAATTAAAATAATATTATGGGGATTGAAAATGCAATTTTATAATTACATATTTGCCCAAAGGTTAAAGGTGTAATTTTATAAACAATGAAATAATTGCATATGTGATTCAATGTCTAAATATGTAATTTTAAATCAAATCAAATGATTGTACATTATCATAGGAGTTAGATGTGCAATTTCATAAATTGCGCACTTAATCTCTACCATCAGTTATAAATAGAGGATAGTTGTGAAATGTGACGTACCATTCTTTCCATCATTTCCATTCCTTAAGGTATGTCTTTTCATTAAATTAATTATTTTAAATTTTTCTTTAGTTAATTATTTATTTATTTTAAGTACTTAATTGGTTTATAAATAGAAATTAAAATTTGTAACTTTAGAGTTCTTTAGTAATTGATAAAAGATAATATTATAGTTAAGTTTAATTAATAAAATCAAGGAAGATAAATTATAATTTTTTCATTTCAAAATCTTAACTTTGGAAATTTTAAAATTTATAAACTAGTTCAAGATATATTGAGTTTTAGTTTACTTAGCTTAACATTATTAAAGATTGTAAAAAACAGATTTGAGGGAAATATAGAGAGTAAAGAAGGAGTGAGTAGGATAGAAAATAACTTGCTATAATAATTGTTAATATCATCATGATAATGAGTATGGAAATTGGGCCGCTACTATATTTATATATGTAGACATGGTAAATTCAAATGAGAAGAAATATAACAATTAGCACTTGAGGCTTAAATTTAAATTACTTTGATCTAGTTATGTGATAAGATGTGAAGAAAAATTGTTATAATAGTATCAATGGTGAGATATGATGGAAATGTGGTAAAGAAGAATATGGATTGAATAATAAAATTTACTAATGGGTATGGATGTATATATATACTTGTGTTAATTGAAATGAAAGTGGATCAAGCATGAAATGGAAAAGTAATATGGTAGTGTATTGGCAAACTTAAATTATACATGTAATAATTTTATGAAATTTAGATAATGACGATAACGAGAATTTCATTTATATTATTATTACTACTAGTTGACAATAAACTAGTATCATTATTTTTATTAGGGGTACGCTATTAAGTAATCTATCTTATCTTATAAGTTTAGTTTAGATGTGACAATTTGGAAATAACAAGATAAGATATGATTAATGTAGAGTTTATTGTATTAATGCAGATATTGATCAAGGAAATCGCGAAAAAGGTAAATATTGATGTTTTTCAACTACAGTGCAAAATACATTTATATGTGTAAAATATATGATTGTTTTTTTTTTTTTTTTTGGCTATGTGATATGGTAGTATGTTACATGTGCATTGAATTTATTTGGAAAACGTAGGGATAATTTCGTTTTCAAGATCATGCATACTTGTGTTGTTATGCTGATTAAGTTACAGTTGAAAATTTTGAATGTGAATATCATTATAGATGTACCGTACTATTGTGTTTGAATAACTATACCGCTTTAAGACTCTTGACGGTCATTAAGAGTAGCCAAGGATAGGGCATTGGAAGTTCGGCACTTGTATGCAGGCAGTGCCAAGAGGTCCCTTGGTGGCCTTGGAACTGCAGATAGGCACCTTGAGCAATGTATGTAAGTAGGCTAAACCTTGAATTTGTATATATGATATACTGATGTGGCATTTTGAGTCTCGATGGGCAACGACGGATGCGTTGATAGTGGTTTTCGTGCAAGAAAGGCCTTGTTATTTTGAGCTCATACGGTACACTATAATAAGGATTTAGGCCCATGTATGTTTGACATGCATCATTGCATTATCATATTTACTGAACTTTATGGTTCACATTTCGTATTTTGTACTGTAGATGCCACCGCAAGAGACTGAAATTGTTCGAACCACTAGACATGCCAAAATTATTGAGGACCTCAATGCTATACATGTTATATATAGACGTACCCACTATACACGTTTTTATACGGTGATTGACGAGGCAGAAGAGATCGAAACTTTTGAAGACGTTGAGGATTTTGTAATAGTAATGATTGATGTTCACGACTTGGTCACTTGTTGTTACGTAAATACTATAATGTATATGGAGTAGACAGCAAAGTGGCATTGTGTAAAATAGGAAAATGATGCCTAGTAAAAGAGTGTAGTGAAAATGAAAGAATTTTGACAGACTCCCCCCCCCCCCCTCGATGTGTTTGACTTCAAAGTCAAAATTGGAAAACCATTATACCAATCTTAAAAGTTGTGAATTTGGAATCTGAAGATTCCATCCTATCTTCCAAACATTTGGTTATCAGAAGGATATACACATCTCCATTTCGGAGCTGTAAAATTCGCTCTTACCCTCCATGGGAGAAATGGTCTCCCTGCAGTTTCAAGAATTGCACTATATCAAAGTCTGTCAAAATTCTTTTATTTTCACTACACTCTTTTACTAGGTATCATTTTCCTATTTTACACAATACCACTTTGCTGTCTACTCCACATACATTATAGTATTTACATAACAACAAGTGACCAAGTCCTAAACATCAATCATTACTATTACAAAATCTTCACTGTCTTCAAAAGTTTCGATCTCTTCTTCCTCATCGATCACCGTATAAAAACGTGTACAGTGGGTACGTCTATATATAACATGTACAGCACTGAGGTTTTCAATAATTTCGGCATGTCTGGTGGTTCGGACAATTTCAGTCTCTCGCGGTGGCATCTACAGTACAAAATACAAAACGTGAACCCTAAAGTTCAGTAAATATGATGATGCAATGATGCATGTCAAACATACATGGGCCCAAATCCTTATTATAGTGCATCGTATGAACTCAAAATAACATGGCCTTTCTTGCACGCAAACCACTATCAACGCATCCATCGTTGCCCACCGAGACTCGGGAAGCCACATCAGTATATCATACATATAAATTCAAGGCCAAACCTACTTATATACAGAGCTCAAGGTACCTATCCGCAGTCCCAAAGCCACCAAGGGACCTCTTGGCACTGTCTGCACACAGGTGCCGAACTCCCAATACCTTATACTTGGCTACCCTTAATGACCGTCAGGAGCCTCAAAGCGGTATAGTTATTCAAACAAAATAGTACGGTACATCTATAATGGGATTCACATTCAAAATTTTCAATTGCAACTCAATCAGTATGACAACACAAATATGCATGATCTTGAAAACGTTATTATCCCTACGTTTTTCAAATAAACTCAATGCACATGTAATATACTACCATGTCACATTGCAAAAGAAACAACCACATATAAACACATATTAATGTATTTTGCATTTTAGTTGAAAAAAAATCAATATTTACCTTTTTCGCCATTTCCTTGATCAATATCTGCATTAAGGCAATGATCTCTACATTAATCATATCTTATCTTGTTATTTCCAAATTATCACATTTAAACTAAACTTATAAGATAATATATGTTACTTAACAGCATACCCCTAATAAAAATAATGATACCAGTTTATTGTCAACTAGTAGTTATAATAATAACAGTAATAATATAAATGAAATTTCGTTATTGTCATTAACTAAATTCCATAAAATTATTACATGTACAATTTAAGTTTGCCAATACACCACCATATTACTTTCTCATTTCATGCTTGATCCACTTTTCATTTCAATTAACACAAGTATATATACGCATTCATACCCATTAGTAAATTTTCTTATTCAATCCATATTCTTCTTTACCACATTTTCATCATATCTCACCATTAATACTATTATAACAATTTTTCTTCACATCTTATCACATAACTAGATCAAAGTAATTTAAGTTTAAGCCTCAAGTGCTAATTTTTATCTTTCTTCCCATTTGAATTTACCACTCATATAAATATAGTAGTGGCCCAATTTCCATACCCATTATCATGATGTTATTAATAATTATTATACCAAGTTATTTTCTATCCCTACTCACTTCTTCTTTACTCACTATATTTTCTCCTAAATCTATTTTATACAATCTTTAATAATGTTAAGCTAAGTAAACTAAAACTCAATTTATCTTGAGCTAGTTTATAAATTTTAAAATTTCCAAAGTTAAGATTTTGAAATGGAAAAATTATAATTTATTTTCATTGATTTTATTAATTAAACTTAACTATAATATTATTTTTTATCAATTACTAAAGAATCCTAAAGTAGCAAAATTTAATTCCTATTTATAAACCAATTACGTATTTAAAATAAATGAATAAATATCTAAATAAATAATTAACTAAATTTTTTTTAAAATAATTAACTTAATGAAAAGACATACCTTAATGAGTGAAAATGATGGGAAGAATGGTATGTCACATTTCACAATTATCCTCTATTTATAGTTGATGGTAGGGGTTAAGTGTGCAATTTATGAAATTGCACATTTAACCCCTATGATAATATACAATCATTTGATCGGATTTTAAAATTACATCTTTTGACTTTGGACCACATATGCAATTATTTCTTTATTTATAAAATTGCACCTTTAACCCTTGGGCAAATAGTGCAATTATAAAATTGTATTTTCAATCCCCATAATATTATTTTAATTAAAATCCCTAATAACATTTATTCTATCATTAAATTAAGTCCCTAAAATTAAAAACAATCTCCCTAAAATATTAAAAATCTTTAATAGAAAATTTTGGGATATTACAGGAGTGGGCTCTGCTCCTTTGCTCGGACGATCTTCAGTAATTCATACATAGCTTTTGGTAGAAAACTTGGAATTGTTATCTGTTAAAAAATGTTAAACTACTCATTCTATTATCTTTTCATTGATATTTATTTGCCTTGTGAAGATCTTTGTACCAAGCTTTGTGCTCCAATTTTCGCACCTAGTGTGCTTATTGGTTTCTCATTTTGCTTCTTCGGCTTTTGGGTTTTTGATCCCTTCACTTCATATCACCTTGCTTTTTCTTAAATTTCTCTTCTTTCTCATCTTCCAAATGCTAGGCTCTTTATTTTCATTTTAAAAACCTTGATTTCTTCTCGTTTTCATGTCATTTTCACCAATGTAACTTGAATTAGAGGATTTCATCCTACAAAACAATAACGAACCAAAACTCAATAGATATTGACTCTAACACTCGAAATATAAGTAAAATGTCTTAGAATATGGACCTAAATAATCGTATAAAATGCACTTATTATTTGATAATTTGGACGAGACAAATATTGCATATCAAACACGTCACTACCTTTATCCAGTTATGCAAACTCAGAGACTAAAAGCCAACCTAGAAAAGGCCAAAGAGTGCTACTAACATCATCAAACATGAAGATCCCTTTTTTGCTTAGGCTATTTTTAGATTCCTTAATGATAGTTGATTCTGACATTTCCTGCAGCCCGATCACTACATTATCCCGACGATTAATTTTTGATGAACTTAAAACTCCACCTATGGAGTCCTCGACCATATGGTAGCCTTGAGACATTATGCCCGACCACATCCTGCCAGGCTGCTCACATATTGCAATACTTGTCCTCGAGCATCAGCAGTCCTCGAGCATATGCTCCCCTCACAACATACGATTGTTGACCCTTTGGAATTCCTACGCAATTAGGACTCTAACTCAACCATATACTTGACTCCCGCAAGGATTCTATCCCGCATATAATTTTGGAATGTGACCAACTCCTTAACTATTCAGGACTCCAACAGAGAAGGACATCCAGCTAGTTGAGTCCCACTAGGAGAATGTCGCTTACTACTATAAATACAGAACCTTTAGCCATTATTCAGGTACGTTTTTCACTGTTTTCCAACATATAGCCTCACGCATATAATTCCCTTTCTGACTTAAGCATCGGAGGGGCGACGAGAACACACCTCGTTGCCTTTGTTTCAGGTACCGGAAGACTACGATCGTGCTCAACTCGAATCATCAAGCTCGAAAAATCTGCAGGTTTGATTTTTGGTAGCATTATTGGCACCGTCTATGGGAAATGCTACCAAAAGCCATGGTTAACACGCGATCAGGTATTCCTCCTGCAAGCTCATCCGCTCCCATCCCTTATCCTATCGAAGATCAACCGACTCCTCATGAAGAATCCTCGAGAGTTCCCACACCTCTGCCAGCAGTCATTACAACCGAAGCCATTGAAGAGCTGCGTTAGCAGGTGGCCACGCTCACGCAACTGTTAAATCAAAGAAACTTACATCCGTCACCAGCGCAGGCAGAGCAAAACGATTTTATGGCCGATGCTCGAGCATGACCACCAAATCCAGCAAATGGAGGAGTAGGAACCTCGGGTATTCATAAAATGGCCTCGGGCTCGAGATCAGTCGCCATGGATTCCAGTGAAATTGCTCGGATCATTCAAGAAGGAATTACAGCTGGCCTGCAACATAATGCTCAAGGGCCAACAGGTTTCACCCCTAACACTCCATTCACGCCAGAGATATTGACATATTCCTTGCCCGACAGATTCAAATATCCTCGCATTAAAGAGTATGATGGGACGACCGACCCCATCAACCATCTCAATGTATACACTGATGTCATGAACTTGCAAGTTGCGCCGGATCAGGTTATGTGCAAAGCCTTTCCACAAACGCTGACAAATGTTGCTAGGGATTGGTTCTCGACATTGGAGCCCAACCCCATAGCCTCATTCTCAGATTTGGCTGAAAAGTTCTCAGCCTTCTTTGCAAGTAGCAAGCGAATCAGGAAGACCTCGTCCTCTCTCATGCAACTTCGCCAGGGATCAACCGAAATCTTGCGAGGATTTATAACAAGGTTCAACAAGGAAAGGCTTCAAATACCCGACCTCCACATCACAGCAACTGTCTCCGCCCTCACTTACGCCGTAAGATGTGAAGCTTTCAAGATGTCTTTATCAAAGACCCCGTCGCAAACAGTGATCGAGCTCCTCACCTGAGCTGAAAAATACATTAATATAGAGGAAACACTAAATCCAAGGAGATCTGGTCCTTCCCATGAAAAGATTGAGAACAAAAGGCAACATGATCCCGTCCCCCAGCATGAGTTTTCCCGGGATAAGCGCAGGAACGAGGCGCCATCAGCACCTCTCACTCGGTTGAACACCTCTAAAGCAAACATTTTGATGGAGGTTAAGGATATGAAAGAATTAAAGTGGCATTCAAGGATGAAGTCATCCCCTGACACAAGAGATAGGAGCAAGTATTGTGAATTTCACCGGGATCATGGGCATACTACAGAGGATTGTCATGCTTTACAGCGAGAAATTGAAGCCCTTATCAACAGAGGATTTTTAAAGAATTACATTGGTCATGATAAACGGCCAAGGAATGACCGTGACAATCGGAAAGAGCCTGGGGCTGGAAGCAGTGCTCAACCCATTGTCGGAACCATTAATATTATCGTTGGGAGTATAGCGTCCGACGAAGACACAAGTAGTGGGCGAAAGCAGTATGCTCGCCAACATGCTCATATCCCAAGAGAATCAAGTGATGAAGTTAGAGACATCACTTTTGGTGCAAGAGATTTGGAAGGAATATCATATCCTTATGACGATGCCTTGGTCATTTTTGCGGTTGTGGCTAACTTCGAAGTAAGGAGGATTCTGGTTGGAGTGCCGCGAAAACATACCGTCGCAAGAGGCTTTCACCAAAATGAGAATCTCTCCCAAACAGCTCAAAGCAGTAAAAACCCCCTACAAGGATTTGGTGGTGGAATCATTATCCCTGAAGGCATCGTCGAGCTCCCGCTTACATTAGGAGCTGGTAGTACACTACTGACGGAGATCACACCATTCCAAGTATTTAACACCCCAATGGCCTACAACATCATTCCGGGAAGACCCTTACTGAACAAGATCTAGGCTATTGTGTCAACTTTCCACCTCGCCATGAAGCTCCCCACAGGTCATGGCATCGGAGTAGTTCGAAGAGACCAAATGGTGGCTAGACAGTGCTATGTTACAAGCATCCGAGGCATGAGTGCTGACATCATGCAACTCGTAGACCTCGAGCTCGAGCCAAGGGATAGATTGGCCCCCGTTGAGGAATTGGAAGTGGTCGAGCTCGAGCACGAAAAAGTCGTTACTATTGATCGGGATCTGAAGGCCAACCTCCGGGAGGAGGTCATCAGTTGTCTGTCTCGTAACATTGATGTTTTTGCATGGAAGGTGGGGGATATACCAGGGATAGACCGAGAAGTAGCTGTCCATAAACTTAATATCAGCCCAAGGGCCAAACCTGTTAAGCAAAGGAAGAGATAGTTTGCGTCAAAAAGACGTGTGGTCATTCAGGAAGAAGTCGGCAAATTGTTGAAAGTGGGGTTCATAAGGGAAGTCCAATACCCCGATTGGCTCGCTAATGTTGTTCTGGTGAAAAAGCCCAGCGGTAAGTGGAGGGTCTATATTGGCTTCATAAATCTGAATAAAGCATGCCCAAAGGACAGTTACCCGCTACCTATGATCGATAATCTTGTGGATAGCACATCCGGACATAAGCTGTACAGCTTCTTAGATGCATTCTCAGGGTATCATCAAATCCTCATGGCCAAAGAAGACCAAGAGAAGACTTCATTCATGGCTGATTCAGCCATATATTGCTATAGGGTGATGCCATTTGGGTTGAAAAACGCTGGGGCAACATATCAGAGGCTCATCAACAAAGTTTTCACCGATTTGATAGGGAAGAACATCGAGGCCTATGTGGATGACATGTTTGTAAAAAGTAAGAAGGTGGAGGAACATATATCCGACCTTCAGGAGGTGTTCGCCACCCTACGAAAATATAAGATGAAGCTCAACCCAGAGAAGTGTGTATTTGGCGTAGCTTCAGGAAAGTTTCTGGGTTTTATGATCACTCATCGGGGCACTGAGGCTAACCCCGAAAAAATTCAGGCTCTGGCAGTAATGGAATCACCAAGGACCAAGAAAGAGGTTCAAAAGTTGACAGGCAGGGTAGCCGCCTTAAATAGGTTCATGTCCCGAGTAGCAGACAGGTGCTTCCCCTTCTTCAAAGCCCTCAGGGGTAATCATTGCTTTGAATGGAATGAGGAGTGTGAGAAGGCTTTTCAGGAGCTCAAGCAGACATTGGAATCTCCCCCCATCCTCACCAAACCCGAGCCCGGAGAAACTCTTATTTGTACTTAGCCGTATCTCAGAATGCAGCGAGTGGTGTCTTGGTGAAAGAGGTTAACAGGGGCCAGCAACCCATTTATTACGTAAGCAAAGTCCTACTTGATCCAGAAATAAGATACACTTTGGCAGAACAACTTGCCCTTGCACTGATAGTAACAGCACGAAAACTTCGGCAATATTTTCAGTCACATCCTATTGTTGTGCTCACCAATCAGCCACTAAAACACATTCTTCATAAACCAGATGTCTCAGGAAGATTACTAAGGTGGGCAGTTGAACTCAGAAAATTTGACATAGAGTTCAAGCCCCGTCCATCTATCAAAGCTCAGGCCTTAGCTGACTTCATTGCAGAACTCACCCCAAGGCCTCGGGGGCCAGATAGTAGCTCAAGCTTGAGCATAGCTGTGTGGGAAATTTTCGTGGATGGAGCATCAAACTCCTCGGGCTCGGGAGTCATAATCATAAGCCCGGACATGCTCATAAACATTCAGTGTGCACTAAGGTTCGAATTTGAGGCGACCAATAATGAAGCAGAGTATGAGGCCGTCATCATAGCCATGGAACTCGCCATAAATCTCGAGCTTGAAAATATCAAAATTTATAGTGATTCCCAATTGGTGGTTGAACAAATCGAAGGGACGTTCGATAGAAAGGATGAAAAGATGAGCTTATACTGCTTGAAAGTGCATGATCTCCAGAGAAAGTTCAAGAGTTGTGAAATTGTAAAAATTTCTTGGGCTGAGAATTGTAGGGCCGATGCCTTGTCAAAATTGGTGTTCATGGGAATAGATGGGCTTGATAGGATAGTCTACGTCAGAATTGTAACCGAGCCAAGCATCAATCAGACCATAGGCGTCATGGATATTGATAATGAGCCATCATGGATGGACCCAATAGTGGACTTCATAAAACATGGCCGCCTTCCAGAAGATCCTCGGGTAGCGAGAAGCATCCGGTCCAAAGCTTTGAGGTATTGCATGATTGAAGGTGTTTTATTTCGTAGGACCCTCACACTTTCATACCTCAGATACCTTAGGCCTTCCGAATCATACCAGATCCTAGAAGAAGTTCATGAAGGTGTAAGTGGGAACTATCAAGGAGCTCGGGCATTAGCCTTCAAGCTCATAAGATGTGGATATTATTGGCCAACCATGAAGAAAGACGCCTAGGAATATGTCAAGAAGTGCGACAAGTGCCAAAGATTTGGCAATATCATCCACCCTCCTGCAGAAGACCTCACTAACATTAGTTGCACAGCCCCATTTGAGCAGTGGGCAATTGACATCCTTGGTCTCTTTCTAATAAGTAGGGGACAATTGAAGTTTGTGGCTGTGGCTGTAGAGTATTTCACTAAGTGGGTAGAGGCCGAGCCTTTAGCAACAATTTTAGAGCCGAAGTTAAGAAGTTTCACTTGGAGATCCATCATATGCAGGTTCAGGATACTGAAAGTCCTCATAACTGATAATGGCAGGCAGTTTGACAATGCCCACTTTAAAAACTTTTGTACCGACCTAGGGGTTGATCACCGTTTGACGTCGGTTTCCCATCCTCAAAGTAATGGTCTTGCCGAAGTGACCAATCGGATTATATTGCAAGACCTCCGTACAAGGATCGGTGATGCAAGAGGTTCCTGGTCTGACGAGTTGCCTTCCATACTTAGGACGTATAGAAACGTCACACAGAACTGCTATAGGGGAAACCCCCTTCATGTTAGCTTTTGGTATTGAGGCCAACATTCCTATTGAAGTAAGGTTACCCAGCCAAAGGAGGCTCGAGCCCGAAGATGCAGGGCGCACCACTGAACACCTTGACCTCTTGGAAGAAGTTCGTGATCAGGCAACTTTAAAAATGGCCTCCTACCAAGATAAAACAGCAAAGTACTTCAATAAGAAAGTGAGGACGCGAAGATTCAAAGCCGGAGACCTTGTGTTAAGAAGGGCCGAAGCAACAGGTCATGCCCCGAGCAAGCTAGGACCAGTTTGGGAAGGGCCCTTCGAAGTTATACGACAACTCCAAGGAGGCGCATACAGTTTAAGGGATAAGTCAGGAAGGCCGCTTCCAAGATAATGGAACGCAGAGAATTTAAAGATATATTACAAGTAACTTGGTCTTCCAGTGATCGGTAGTCAGGCCTGTGCATCAAGGTTCACGTTTTCAATTCTCAGGCCTGCGTGCCAAGTTTCATTTTTCGGTATTCAGGCCTTGGTGATCACGTTTTTAGTTGTCAGGCCTGCGTGCCAAGTCTATTTTTAAAAAAGTATAATAAGAATTAAGCTATTCGTCAAAATATGATCTAGCTACAAAATGCCTTGCCTCACGCAAGCAACAAAAAGCCTTGTCCCGCGCAAGCAAACAAAAAGCCTTGCCCCGCATAAGAAATCAAAAGCCTTGCCTCGCGCAAGCACGTCAAGTAACATTCCCGATCACAAGTGCCCGATCAATGGTGTGAGAGATCTTATAAAAAGGCCATTACTGTCCTCGGGAATCACGCTATAGGTCGATACAATAACGTCGTCATACATACATGCTTGGGCTCAACACATAATGTTCATAAATGATTTTTCAAATTGAGTCCTCGAGATAACTTGCATACATGCTCGGGCTCAAAACATAATGTTCATAAACGATTTTTCAAATTGAGTCCTCGAGATAACTTGCATACATGCTCGGGCTCAACACACAATGTTCATAAATGATTTTTCAAATTGAGTCCATGAGATAACTTGCATACATGCTCGGGCTCAACACAATGTTCAAAAATGATTTTTCAAATTTAGTCCTCGAGATAACTAATACATGCTCGCGTACGTCAAGGCTAAAGCTTCATCTAGGCGTCGAGATATTTAATTAATCTAGGCGTCGAGCTGTCAATTCACCCTAGGCGTCGAGATATTTAATCTAGGGGTCGAGTTGTCAATTCACCTAGGCATCGAGATATTTAATCTAGGCATCGAGCTATTAAGTCATTTTTAGACGTCAAGTTATTGAATCATCTTAACGCTCGCTATTTGAGTTTGTCATGATCGAGACATCAGCCATACATGATCGTGCAAAATGAAAAATACTTGATCGAGCAAAATACGACAAAAAGAACATTATCTAAGATCGAGCAAAATACTTGTTCAAAATACAAAAGAAGGGGGATGTCATCATGAGAAAAACATGAACTAATCTAGGTCCTCGGCTCTTTCTCCCGAAGCTGTGCTCCCTTGCTCTTTCGCCGCGTCCTCGCCGTCAATATCGACCTCATGGTCCTCGACGGTTTCCTCGGACTCTGAAAGCTCGAGGTCATCAGCAACCTCGGGGATGCTCTTTAAATCCTCGAGTTTGGCGTCAGGCTTCGACCTCAAAAATGCCCGAGCTTCTTTGAAAGCGTGGAAGTACGAGCCCTTGGTATACTCTCCCTTAAGCCCGTTGAACTCCTCGGACATTTTGAAGTCCTCGATCGCAACGCCTCGAGCTTCAGCCAGGTGAGTTTCAAAATCAATTTCAAACGCTCGATCTCGAGCTTTAAATCCTCGGCCTCACCTTTGGTAGCTCCAGACTCTTCCCGAGCTCTCTGAACGTCGTTCTTCGAGTCCTCGAGTTCCCTCTAGAGAAGGAAGCGCTCAGCTTCCATATCAGCCATCCTCTTCTCATGTGCTCGAGAAGAGTTCTCGAGCTCAGCAGTTTTCTGTGCCTCGTCCTTCTCCTTCAGAGAAAGGCCTCGGGCAATGCTCAGAGCCTGCATCATATAAACCCAAGCTTAAGCAATCACATCATATAAATCCATAAATTACACCAAGTAAGTTGAGCGAGCTTACCTTCAGTGTAAGAGATTCAAGAGCCTTCATACCCTCATCAAAGTCGAGGTCCTTTCGATACTTGTCCACGATGATGGACACCAGGGGACACCAGTCAGGATCTTGATTTTGGAATGAGGGCATAGGTGGGACCTCATCCTCGAGGTCAACAACCTCAGGGGTACTCCTTGGCCGAGGACGTGACTGAGGAGGGGCAGTTGGAGTTTCATTGGCCTGTATGGTTGGGGATTGTCCCCGAGCAGAAGGTTCGCCTGGCCCACTCCTAATGTTCTCAGGGCCTGAATCTCGAGCTCTCTTATTTCCTCTCTTTTGACCTGGAGCTCGAGCTTGAGGGGCCTTCAACTTTTTGTTCACGCCCTGTTTGAGGGTTGAAGGATCAAAAGTCATCTCTACAAAAAAACAAGTCATTGACATGAGCACAATCGTATTGTTCAAAGACAGATCAATAAGGAAGAAGGCAAAAAGATGATCCCTACCCTCAGTGCCTTTCACATCCGCGAGATCGAGAATGTCATCCCCGAGGATGTCATCTATATCATATACAAGAGGCTTAAGGTTCTCTAACATCATCCTATGCCTTTCTAAAGACTCAAAATAGGCCTGGCCTTCACAAAACCTGGGAGTGTCGGGCAGAACCCACGTAGGACTAAAAGGAAGGTCACTATCCTGAGGTACGACATAAAACCACTTTTCTTTCCATCCTTTCAATGAACTAGGCATCCTCGATATTCTAAAGCCTCCTCGGGATGAAAGGTAGGCAAAATAAGTATATTGAGGTAGCTGTTTCAGGTCGAAGACCATTCTACAAAGATCGATGAATGGTTTAATTCCTAGGTATCTACAGGCTATAAAAAAATAGGTGAGCACCCTCCACCCATTTGGCACGAGCTGTCCAGGGCTCATGTTAGGTTCGACCAATAAAGACACAAAAAAGGGATGCAGGGGCCATCTAAATCCCCCCTTTAGTGAGTCCATAAAAATCACGAACTCTCCATCCCGAGCAAAGGCCATCCTATCCTCTACCCCTGGCATCCTAATATCACATTTTGACATGAGCCCATGCTCCCTAGCCATCGATATTGCTAGATGCTCTTTAAATTTACTAGGAACCTCGGGGTACCTAAATTGGGTCGGGATACTTTGTGCCTGAGGTTGGGCATTAATTGGGACGGCCATAGGTATGATCGAGCATCCTATGTCCTCGGGAGTACTTCTCGAGGATGAGGATGAAGACTCACTACTACTACTGCCAGACATCCTGACTTGGGTAAAAAATTGCCTAAAGAATAACTTAAAAACTCGAGGTCTTACCTTAAAGTCGACGCTTAAAAACTCAAAGTTCTGATCCCGACGATTAGCAAGAGTGGTTTACTGAGAGTAAAAAGTAAAAAAATGAAATGTGGAGAGGGTATTTATAGGCAACAGGAGCGGGTAGTCCAAAGGTCACTACCCCGATCGTCAGATCTGGCCACATGTCCTACATCCACCCCCTGCCATTTTTTATCGCCTTTTCCTATTTAGGGCTTACCTTAGTACACGTCAACCCTTCTGAACACCTGTCATCAAAAACGTCCTCGAGCTAAATGCTCGAGCTTTTGTTTCCAGCCTCTTTGCATCATATCCTCGAGCAAAGGCTTCGAGCATATGTGCACGGGGGCCAATGATACTGACATTTCCTGTAGCCCGATCACTTCATTATCCCGATGACTAATTTTTGATGAACTTAAAACTCCACCTATGGAGTCCTTGAGCATATGGTAACCTCGAGACATTATGCCCGACCACATCCCGCCTGGCTGCTTCACATATTGCAATACTTGTCCTCGAGCATCAGCAGTCCTCGAGCATATGCTCCCCTCACAACTGACGATTGTTGGCCCTTTGGAATTCCTATGCAATTAGAACTCTAACTCAACCATATACTTGACTCCCGCAAGGATTCTATCCCGCATATAATTATGGAATGTGACCAACTCCTTAACTATTCAGGACTCCAACAGATAAGGACATCCAGCTAGTTGAGTCCCACTAGGAGAATGTCGCTTACTACTATAAATATAGAACCTTGAGCCATTATTCAGGTATGTTCTTCATTGTTTTTCAGCTTATAGCCTCACACATATAATTTCCTTTCTAACTTAAGCATCCGAGGGGGGACGAGAACACACTTCGTTGCCTTTGTTTCAGGTACCGGAAGACTACGATCGCGCTCAGCTCGAATCATCAAGCTCGAAAAATCTGCAGGTACGATTTTTGATAGCATCAATAGTCAATCCAAGAGAAGATGTTCAAAGAAAATTTGTCATTAATAACAAAGGATAATGCAGTTTTAAGTTTGAAATCTTCAATAACGTTCAATTTGCTTA